GTCCTCTCGGTCGCTACACTGGCATTAACAGCAGTATCCAAGCAACCCGTGGCACATATTTATAACTGCTAAAATGAATGGAAGTCAGTGGGAGGACCTGTGTGTTGGTGAATGACAAGTACAGCCCAAAGCCACAATAACACAGAGACAAGTGGCGTGTCAGCACCATCCTGAGGGAGTAGCACGGCCATTCGATGTCGCTTGCGGCTTTAATTTGTCCTTCAAATTACATAAACTTCAAATTATAAATCAGATGTTATGTCCTGACTGTTCCTCCTTAAGTCACTCTTACTTGGGTGGTAGTTTTCCCAAACACTATTTTTTCTCTCACTTGAGTAATTTCTTGGACCACTACTTTGCACTTCTACTTGAGTAATATTATTTTGAAGTCATGTTACTCTTACTTGAGTATAATTGTTGGCTTCTCCACCCTACTCTGGTAAATACATGTTGCTTGTAATATACATTAAAAAAACATAAGACACACTATGCAACTTTTCTGGTGGGTGGAAGGAGATAGAAATAATTTCAGTGGAGATGTTATTGCTTTGCCTGGAATCTTCCACAATATGGCATTAAACATATCTCCCTTGTATTAATTAAATGCGGGTTGTTGTTTTTTTTTATCACATACATTTAACCTTGGAGAACATGCACTCTTACAAGGAGTAGAGTTGTCTCTCCACAGATCCAACCTGTAATTTGGCCAGGTTGTGCCCATAAACCGTGCTTTTCTGTCAGTCTGCACTCCAAAAATCTATTGAAATTGATTCATAAAATACAACATTACCACTTTACAAAATATATCTGTTTGTGTTTACCATGACTTTCTATGCACTTGTCCTCATTACACCTCTGTTTTCCATTTTTTGAGTGCAGGGTAAAAACATAAACTACCTTATACAGATCGCCATAACAACCGTAATCAAGGCATTATAGTGCAGATCTATTGAAAGAGACACTACCATTATGTCCAATAGCTCAGCATCTGTGCACTATTTCTTTGAAAGGTACAAAAGCTATTCAAGCAGGCTGCAGTATACAAAAGGCTGTGTTTACTTTCTCTAGAATGTGATTATGTCAAAATTTCAGATGGAGAACAGGGCCAGCCTAACTGCATATACGAGACAAGGAAATGTCTAAAGTAGTGTCGTCAAAAGTATCGAAAATACTAATCGATACTAAGACTAGTGTCAAAACTAGATACTCATCTGAGCAGGTATTGATGCTAAAATAATCACATTGACAGGACGGAAATCAACCTTTCCTGAATAGCTTTAGAATGATCTTGAGCTGTATCAGAACAAGTTTAAGAGCATATAGACTAGTATACACCCATGGATCTCTATGGAACCAACCTGAACGACTGAGGGTCTACACAGATATAAGACCACATGGTAATATAAAAGAAAGTGCAGCGATCAAAAATCCAAAATCACAAAAATAATAATAATAATAATGAAAAAAAAAACTAAACAAAACACATTCTATTGTCTAAAGAAAGAGTGTTCTTTAGAATTCCCATATTACACAAAATTTACTCTTTTGAGCTTTAAACCATGTTATAATGTTGTTACCGCCTCAAAAACATATCTGGAGTTGTGTTTTGTTTCATTCACACATTTGAGTAACCCTTTATTATTAGTCTGTACATCTTCAAAGCTCAAAATGCTCTGTTCCACCTTGTGATGTCATGAAGATGATACCTTTTGTTTCATAGAGATTGGCAGATTGGCCAGGGCTGAAATTATATTAATAATAATTTTAGTGAAAGTGTTAATTTATTTATGTATTTATTTATTTATCTATTTACTTGTGTATGTATTTATTTATTTATGTATTTATGTATTTATTTATTTATTTATTGGATCCCTATTAGTCATTACTGGGGTAAAGACTATTCTTCCTGGGGTCCAACTTGGCATAATTTACAATAAAATTCCATTTCATTCCATTCCATTATAATAACAAAAAAAGTTCACACATAGTTTCATACAGTCTTGTTCCATAGTATACTACATAAGAAACACTAACTATAATATATCCAATATTATAGTTAATTTGGAGTGTAAAAACACAGTGGAGCACTTCCTACATTACCACATGACATCACAAGGTGGAACAGAGTGTTTTCTGTTCGAGAGAAGTACACAGTCTAAAAATGCAAGGTTTGAGTGTTAAACATGTGTGAATGAAACAAAACACAACTCCAGATATGTTTGGGCCCTTTAATAATGTATTGCATTATCAGAATCAGGATTGAGTATCAAGTCGATTCCTTAGTATCGAAATCAAGCTTGAATTTTTAGTATCGTGAAAACACTAGTTCCATATCGTAAGAGTTCAGTACACTCTTCTTAATGGTCCACTGTTGTGTTGAGTTGGGTCACACCACCTTTAACAGAGTCCACTCCTGTCCCTGTGACTTATCCTGCCTTTTACTGTAATACCAGGCCCAGTCATGTCACAAACTGCTGGAAAAAAAAAACACGTAAAACCCATATGAAGCAGATCCGAGTGCTTTTTAAAGGCCATTCGTCTAATTAGGACCAGTTCTTTCTCACTGAAGATACCTGAACAAATGACACTTTGTCTGTGTAATCTATTTGTATCAATGTTGAACTGAGATGCTCTGATATAGAAAGTAACTGGTGAAAAAAACTAACTAACTAAATCTATTAAACAGCCCATATTACATTATTTTCTGATCTAGGTTATAATGTTGTTTCTTCATCAAAAACACGTCTGGAGTGGTGTTTTGTTTCATTCACACATGTTTAACACACAGACCTTGCATGGTCCTTCTTGAGCTCTTCTCTCAAATGGAAAACACTCTGTTCTACCTTGTGATGTTATGATAATACATTAAGTCCTCCACTGTGTTTTTGAACTCCACACACATTCATTCGAACCATTTGAAGTGAAAGAAAAATACCATGTAAAGTGCTTCGGGAGTCTTAAAATAAAACTCAACTCCAGGTATGCTTTTGATGAGAAAACCACATAATAACATAGAACAGAAAAGTGCATTCTTGCTCTCAGCAGACTTGCATCTCCACAAACCTGACTCTTATTTGGCCTGGAGGAGCTTCCACCTCCAAAAAGTTACATACTAACACTTTAACAAAACTATATTGTGAAATGAGTGAGTACATAAAACATGAAATGCATACAGCCCCTATAAATCAATGCATAACAGATTAAGTGGACAGAAACTTGACCATTGTTTGAGCCTTAATGAAAGCTGTGATGAAAACACTGGCTATAGCCTGATTCTGTTGACATTTTGCCTTGAATACAGGCCTATTATTATCATCAGACAGAGGCGGACACTGGACACAGCACCAGGCAGGTTTTCTGAATCTGCTAATCAGTTTCTGCAAAGCCAGATGTGAAAAAATAAAAACTCAAATGTGATGATTGCAAAGTTGCAAAGGGTTTATATTACACTATTTTCTGATCAACGTTATAATGTTGTTTCCTCATTGAAAACATACCCAGAGTTGTGTTTTGTTTCATTCACACATGTTTAACTCACAAACCCTGCATATTTAGGCTGAGTTCTACACTCTATTCCACCTTGTGATGTCATGTGGTAACACAGGAAGTGCTCCACTGTGTTATAAGGACCTTGAATACCTGGATGAGACCTTGGCCCCATGTGAGACAGATCATGTCCTGGACTTGATCAGTCTGTCTTCTGACATCCTCCTCAATATCCGGATTGGATCAGAGGAGCAGGGTCTGTGTGAGACCCAAGACCAAGAGACTGATCCAGAAACAGAGACCAGTCACAGAGCTGATTGTTGGACCTGAAATATTGGACCTGAGATGTCCAGGTAAAATGTCTTTGAAATATTAACTAAAAATTGCACATTTATTCGTATCGAAGCATTGTTATTAACAAGATCTTAGTTTGTTACTTACTGTTACTGTTAGAAGACCAAAGATGCTTTTGGAGAAGACATTCCTGATGAGGGACTTGTCTCAAACTCTGGTGGTCCATCTCAGGTTCTCACAGAGACTGAGGTCTTTCCTGTGCAGAAGGACGTGACAGCCCCAGGATCTGTCCAGGATCACTCCTCTGTGTTTTCAGAAAACATTATAGAAGGAGAGTTTCAACCCTTACAGTCATATGATGATACCTGATGTAACTGAAGACTGCACTGGAGCAGAACCCTCAGTCCAATGTGAGACAGATCGTGTCCTGGACTTCATAGGTCTGTTCAACTCCAGGGGGTGCAGCTCAGCGCAGAAGGCCACGGTGTAACACATGAACAATCGTCTGAACAACTTCCTGTTTGGTCCAAAGAAGAGACTCTCTCGGCTCTGCGCAGCTGTGGGCCAATTCTTCTGTGCACAACTTATTCATTGCATTTCAAATAAAGCATAAAAAATGTTGTGTGTCTGTTCTCTTTTACGTAGGATAAATGCAAATAATGATAGAAAATACATATTTTACTTTGTGGTGTTAATGTGTGCAGGTGGGTAGCTAACTAATTTACAATTTACAGTTATAGCTGTCTAAAATGCAAAATTTAAAAAAGCAGACCTTATTGAAATGAGGAGAAAAATGAAGGCCACACCAGGTGCTCCTTCTGAATTCTGAACTGAAGAGTGGGGTGAAATTTAGCACTGACAAGCTTAGTCCACACCAAGTCTTACTCTGGTAGTGTTCATTTTTCAGAGTTCAGTGTTAGATTAACTATGGGTGATGTCAGATACAAGTTACACAGGAATATCAAGACTTGTGGATTGTTGTTGTTGCGTACGCTTTAACTACCACTGCATGACATCGTAAGGTGGAACAGAGCATTTTGAACTTTGGAGATGCAGACAATAACAAAGGATTACTCAAACATGTGTGAATGAAACAAAACACAACTCTGGGCATGTTTTTGATCAGGTCACAATATTATAACATGGATTAAAGTTCACAAGAATCCATTTTGTGTAATATAGGACCTTTAATGTTTGTTTGTTTCTTTTTGTCTCCACAGGTATCCCCAGTAGTCACGGACCAGTGCGTAAGTTGATCAAAATTTTCTAAAATTGCATGCTGATCAATACGAACCCATTTTATCGAGCCAAATGTATAGTGTTAATATAAAACACAGAACTCAACCACAGCGAGGCGTGAGACTGTTTCCTCTCCTAATAAATGTCAGTTTATTTTAAGAACATGGGCACCACAGATAAAGTTCATTACAGCATTGTGGACAGAGGTGGGTAGTACTCAGTTACATTTACTCAGATTTTACTTAAGTAACTTTTTAAAGAAACTGTACCTTCAAGAGGACAGTATACTTTTACGCCTACTTGAGTAATACTTCCTTCGTGCATTATTTAATGTTTTCATCCTTCCAATTTCATTAACTTCAAATTACTACTCTTTAAGTTCTTCTTACTTGAGTAGGAGTTTTCAAAAATACAGGTTTAACTCTTATTTGAGTACTATTATTTTGAAGTAATGTTACTCTTACTTGAGTAAAATTTGTGGCCACTCTACCCACCCCTGCCCGTGGATTTGTATGTAAAATTATTGTAAATTATGTAAAGTGTGTAATTAAAAAGAGGTTTAAACGTCTCTAGCCTCTGAACATGTTGTTACTGATGTTGTTATTGCTTAAATTAGGGTTGGGCAATATCGCCATTTTCTTAGAGCTAAATTACAACTTTGATGGTATTATTATTTATATACACTTACTGCCTTTAAATGTGCATTGTTTCATTTTCCTGATGGAGGTTCTGCGACCTGCTTGTTTCCATGGAGATTGCTTTTCCTAAAATGGTTCACAGTATGGCATTAGATTTGTTTGTCCTGCTGATTCAATTACAGTTTTTTTTATTGCTTTACAACGCACAACTTCTCACCACGGAAATGTTTGATGCCATAATGTGGAAAATTCTGGGGAAAGGCAATACAATCTCCGTGGAAACAAGCAGATGGCCGACCCCCCCCCAACAGAAATGTTACATAATTGACTTTTAAGTGCGCAGAATCATATACAAAACAGTTTACAATTTGTTTGCTGTATTGCCTTGCCCTAACTGAAACGCTATTGATACTTTGCAGTGGCATCACGTTGAGGGGGTTTCTGCATGCATGTCTATGGCAGAATGTTCAGGAGTTACCATGCTGACACAATGCACGCATTAGCAAACACAGCCAAATAAGTTTTAAGATGATCTGAAAACTCATTAAAAAATATATAATGGATTTGAACAGCACATTTTCAAGAGACTGTGATCAGAGTGAGCACAATCATTTTGGTTGGGAGTCTGTCACCTGCTTGTTTCTATAGATATGTCATTGTTCTGCTTGGAATGTTCCACAGTATGACATTAAGCAGCTCTACCTTACATTTATTAAGTTACAGGTGGAGTTATTACTGAAAAATACTAAGAAAAACAGACATTCTGATTGTGAATGGGGTTGCTCTTTCTCTATACAAATCTGACCTGTAACTCGGTCTGGTCTGGTCTCTATGATGATAAATAGGTTTAATCAAATGAAACAGAAAACACACACCAAAGTTCTTGTAGAGGTGCAAATGCGTAGCCAGGCTGGTGCCACCTAGTGCGCCTAATTTCATTTCTCTTCGGGGACTAGGTCGGGAATCGGAATACACTAGACAGTCTGCAAAAACCCTGGAAAAGCAAGTCCGGGCACTAGCCAATCAGCAAAGAGCCATTCATTCTGTGTTGGTAATACAGCCTGAGATCAAGGATTTAAAGCCGGAACAAAGAAAATGTTTGGTGAATTTTATCAAGGGGAAAGACGTTATTGTCCTTCTTCCTTCAGGATTTGGGAAAAGCTTAATATACCAGTTAGCCCTGTTAGTAGTGCATTACATACATCATGACCAAATAGCAGCGACTGCTTAAATTAAAAAAAGTACCCACCTACTGTCGAGTGAACTAAGTCTAATGCTGCAAGGTCAGACAGTTTCCATGAAGTGAAACTGGTTGAGGAATCAGGCGAGCAAATGCAAGGAACAGCAATTTAAAAGTGAAAAAATGCGTAGCACACTCTGATGGATGATGTGATGTCCAAAAGCTTTTTTTAATTATTTTTAAATCATCTGAGTGTGCTATGCATTTTTTTTTTCACTTTTAAATAGGTTTAATGCCATACTGTGAAACATTCCAGACAAAGCAATAACATCACCATGAAGAAAAACATTTGACAGACCCTCCACCAGAAAAGTTACACAATGCACCTTTAACAGTACACATTAGCTCACCTTTGCAGTTCCAGCTAAATCAGTTCTTTAAGGTCAGAGTGTGTTAAAACAAAGCTCAGATTAAAGTCTAACATGGGTAACAGGGCTTCAGACAGAGCAGTGCCTCTAGTTAGCATCACCCCCAGTGAATATTGATGACATCAGCTGCAAAGTATCAGTACTCTTTTGCATGTGTTTTTTGCTTATATAATGTTTAGTAAATGTGCATTGATTTCACATGTCACCACAACATTTTAAAAACAACAAAACCCGTGTCCTGTGTGGTTTAATGTGATCTAATGCTGGTTCATTTGCTACTCTGCTCTGGTCTTCTTGGCTCTGTTCATATTCTTTCTCAGATAACCATTTATTTTGCTCTGACAAACAAAACAGAATATCCAGCTCACAGTCAGACACTTGCCCAAAGCTAGACTCTCAGCCAGCCATTTTTTAAGCTCCCATAATGCACCTCTCCACCTGTCCATGTCTGAGGGGGGGCGTACCGCTGTGGAGAACTGCCATAGGCACCATGTACAGTTCTGTGCAAAGGATGAGGTGTGCTATGATATATAAGAAATCTAATATAATCATCTGTACTCATTTAATTAGCAAATGTTTGTTTATTGGCAAGTCATTAAAGGGTGAAGGATCAAATTAAATTCACACCGAAGTGCGTTTTAAAGAGGGGGTATTATGCAAATCAGATTTTAGGGGCTTTCTACCATCTTATAACGTTGTTCCCTCATCCAAAACATGCCTGAAGGGGTTTTATATGTCATCCATGCATATTTGAGTAATTCAGCGATCTCTCTCGTGCATTATTCAGAGCCTCTTGAGCAGTCGAAACTGTCAGGTATGAAAACAAACTTCTGAAAAAAGAAATGATTAGAATGATTAGAATTGGTTAGCAGTACGATTCTGTCCAAGACCCAAACCTACGTCACTCATGCTCCCACACTGCAATTCCCCATAAATAAACAAAAGCACAATACATAACAATATACTACAACTTCACAAATATGACACAATGTTTAGTAGTTTCATAATGTAATGCACACAGATGTTGCTGTGATAACGCTGTAAAGGGAAAAAACGAAAGTTACTGCATTTTTCAGAATATAAGGCACACCGGATTATAAGTGATATTAAGTAAAAACAAATGGACAAAACAAATGGACGACACGTGAGACTGAGCCCTTAGCCAAGGCATCAACGATCCATTGGCAGATCAAGGCGTAATTCGCTCGGCATTACCTCCCTGTCTTGGTTTTAAATGTGTATTATGAATGTGACAGTAGGTGGATAATTTAAGTTTTGTTTTTTTTTATTTCCTAAGAGGAGGACTCAAATATACATTGAGTAATAATGTGTTTAATGCAGCTTTACGCACATTTGTTTACCTTTTACAGCAACAAAACTTAAAGCCACATGGCTAATTTGCATAAACTATAAGTGTTGAAAAAAAGATCGTTCCTTGGGCTGCTGATACGGTCAACTTCTGTTAGACTAACTTGCGAGGCTCCTGACTACGATTGCCATAATGCTCCAACAATCTGTCAATCTTTGCAGCTTCGTAGTTTACCAAAGTCATACTAAAACATTTTGACAGATTTTTGAGCGCCATTTACCACATGAAATTGGTTCGAGGTCAGTAAACACAACCAGAATTAATACATAAGGCGCACCAGATTATAAGGTGCACTGTAAATTTTGGAGAAAATTTGAGGATTTTAAGTACTCCTTATAGTTCAAAAACATGGTAAACATTTTAATACATGATATCATTTTCAAAACAATAAAAGATAACATGGTGATCTTAATAGGTTAATGTGTGTGTATGTTAGTAGTTAATACCCCATGAGAAATGTCATACCCCCTCTTTAATTGCAATTACAAGGAATGACCAGTGCAATGGCAAAGGTCTCTGTAGAGCAAAGGGATGGGAAGTATCAAAAATGAACTACATAAACATGCTAGTACCTTATGGCATTTTCAAAACAAGAACAGGTAACATGGTGTTTTAAACAAGTTATATGTTAGGAGTTAATACCCCATAAAAGTGTAATACCCCCTCTTTAACAATTGCAAGACATGACCAGTGCCTTGGCAGATGTCTCAGTAGCCTTTTCCTTTCAATCTGTATGTATTTTCAAACATTAATATACAGTAATTTACTTTGTACATAGCATTTCTTGAACTTTTGCACAGTACCGCACATGTAATTTCTTTTTCTCTCTGCATGCCTCCTTTAACCTACCCACTGTTTGGAAAATACGTACCACAGAACCAAGCACGTCCCCTATAGTTTGCCCACACTGTATTGAAAGTATGGGGAGTACGCTGAATGAATGCATGCCGTTCCCATCTCCAAAGGAAGCATGAATCACCCAACAGCACAGCGTAATGTGTCCCTTTCATATTTTTGCACAGATCGGGGTAATGCTTCGTCTCTCGGTGTTGCAAATCGAAACCAAGGTAGGCTTATAGGCTTTGTGACTTCAGCATGACATTCACAATACCTGGAAGAAATGCATTGCTTATTGATTGGCAGTTTAGAGAGAAGGCAGGATAATGTGAACTATGCAAAACAGGAATCGGCTCTTTCAGCTCTTTCTTCAGGCAAGTGATATTGGTTTTACCCGAGCTGGTTGTTTTAGTAAGATGTGAGAATTGCTATTAATTGTTTTGTTGTTTTGAATGAATGCACATTTTTCATGACTAATTTTAGACTTGAGTGACATTTGGGAATATCTTAGGAAAATGTTGTGAAAAAGGAAATTTAAAGGTCTTATATTAAGTAATATTGACTCTTGTGAGTATTATAAATTGTATTATAACACTATCTAACGTACCTCCTCAAAAAGAGTTGTGTTTTGTTTCATTCACACATTTGAGTAACCTTTGTATTGTGTCTATCAGTGTTGGGAGTAATGCGTTATAAAAGTATTGAATTATTGTAATGCATTGCTTTTTTCTGTAACGCAGTAATGTAAGGCATTACAGGGAAAAAAAATGGTAATAGGTAATGGTACAAATGAATTGAAGCGGTGGTTTTTTCGTTTTTCTTCATACTAATTCGCTAAAATCAGCGCAATATCAGCAGCAGTAAAACGCTATTGTTACAGTTCCAAATGTCGGGACAGGTCCGAAGGTGCGCCCGTGTAGACCGTCAGGTGACCGCAGGCAACTGGACCGGTTGCAGAGCTCCGTGCCCCACGGGGCTAATCGCAGCTGATACTTTTGTGGACACCCTGCTCCACAGGCTTGGGGTTCTCTCATGGGCAGTCCTAGATTCCAAGTCCTAGTCCGAGATTAGTCCTGGTTTGATTCTGGTTTAGTCCTGGTTTAGACCTGGTTTAGTCTTCCTGGTTTAGTCTTTGGTTCAGTCCTAGTTTAGTCCTGGTTTAGTCCTGGTTCAGTCCTTGGTTCAGTCCTGCTGTAGTCTTAGTTAGACCTGTCTTAGTTCTGGTTCAGTCCTGGTTCAGTCCATACATACAGTACCCACCTTTTACTTTAAGTTCAGTAGAGATTGACAATTCCAGAAATTCCTGAAATCATCCAAATGATTCTTTTGAAGGTGTATGGGTTTTTAAATGACACTGGAGCGCTTCCTGTGTTACCGCATGACATCATAAGGTGGAACAGAGTCTTTTATGTTTGAGAGAAGCGCTACACTGTGTTTTTAAACCCCATACACCATCACTAGAATCATTTGAATGATTTCAGCCATGGAATTGTCTATCTTTACAAAAAAAAAAAAAAAAAAAACAAGTATAAAGGTTTGTTAACTTTAAAACTACCACTTGATGTCATCACAAGGTGGAATTGGGGTTACTCAAACTGTGAGAATAAAACAAAAAACAGCTCCAGGTATGTTTTTGATGAAGTAGCAAGATTCTAACTTGACTTTGCATAATATAACTGTAAAATTAGCTGTCAAAATGCAGATGTGTTGCTCTGGTTTAGAGTTCATTTCTTGATCATGAATCCACATGAAAGAAAAACTGAAGCAAAGGTTAATACCACAGTTTGTTTAATTCAATTGTGTTAATTAGAAGCAAGAATTAATATTGTCCATAGATAATTTGGAAAACGCGTTGTGTGGCAGAATATGGTTTCGCAGTTTTCTTTTTCTGCAGACCTTTCGTTGTGGAAATCCATTTGGGATCGGTCCGCACGGTTCATGATCACCTCTAACCTCCCCGCTCGTGCCCTCTTTTTAATTACCCACAATGCTCTCTGGGGGGGCACCCTTTCTGTCAGGGCGGAGAGAGGGAGAGGAGAGGAAGGGAGAGGAGAGAGGGAGGAGGAGAGGAGGAGATAGCAGAGGAGCCATGGGGAGGTTTATGTAGATTGATCTAGAGCTAATCCTCAGACCCAGATCTCCTGTGTAGTCCGTGTTAAGTCCGCACCACTGCTCTCACAGCCGGCAGAGGCAAATTAAAAGAGGATGTGAAAGATTTCTACAGACAGAAAAGTGCTTCCTTGTCTTCTGTGGGCGCGAGGAGTCAGGACTATAGTGGGGAAATACTGTTTGGGGAATTGGATTTGAAAATATGGAAACTTTAAAGAATCAACTGCTTGACTCCATGTAGATGTTAATGCTTTTTTTTCCTGGAATGTTCTACAGTATGGCATTAAATTTAACTATGTCCATGAAGAAAAGCAGCAACATCACCAGGTCAAGTTACAGGTCAGATCTGTGGCGAAATAGACCTGCTCCCACTAAGAATACATGTTTTTGTGGTAGTTTTGAGAAATAAAAACCCCTGCGATTGAATAAATGTGAGGTATCTTTGTTTAATGCCATACTGTGGAACACCCAAAGCAATAAAATAACCATGGAGACAAGCAGCAACATCAGCAGGCCAAGTTACAGGTCAGATCTGTGGAGAATTGGACCTGCTCCCAATAAGAATACATGTTTTTGTGGTAGTTTCAAGAAATAAAAAACCCTGTAATTGAATAAATGTGAGATATATTTGTTTAATGCCATAGTGTGGAATATCCAAAGCAATAAAATCACCATGGAGACAAGCAGCTACATCACTAGGCCAAGTTACAGGTCAGATCTGTGGAGGTGTGGACCTGTTCCCACTAAGAATACAAGTTTTTGTGGTAGTTTCGAGAAATAAAAACCCCTGTAATTGAATAAATGTGAGATATCTTTGTTTAATGCCATACTGCGGAACATCCGAAGCAATAAAATCACCATGGAGACAAGCAGATGGGGGATTCTTTACACAGTGCTTCTTTAAAACCTGATTATAGCAATAAAAACAAATGGATTACGCAGCTTTTCAGGTGTAGAGTCTGTCACTTGCTTGTCTCCATGGAGATCATATTGCTTGGCCTGGGATGTTGCACAGTATGGCATTAAATCTGTAGCATTTATATCACTACGAGTGCTTAAAAATACCTTGAAATTAGACCTGTCACGATAATTATGATACGGACTTATGGTTAAGTAGATGGAACAATATATTTGGGGCCCTGTTTTTATCATGCGTTTACATTTTCTCTGTAAAAGTTTGGAGATTTGAACAGAGCGTTTTGAGCTTTGGAGATGTAGACAGACTAAGAATAAAGGGTTGCTCAAACATGTGTGAATTAACGTGTCAAATTTGCATAAAACAGGACGTTTAATTTTCTACTGTGTAATATTCTAGGTAAAGCAATAACATCTCTATGGAGACACCAGAAAAATGACATAGTGCACCTGTAATTGTTGAGCAAAAATGAAGGGGTATTATGAACTTTGAATATTCCATTTTAAGTTTATATTTTTACTGTGTTACTTTTTGGGTTAAGGTGGAATTAAACACATAAACTCCCACAACACATTTCAAATAGAGCTGTTAAACTGGGCAGTACTTGGAGAAGGAGGGGCGGAGTCTGGTGTTGTAAGGAGCAGTGTGATTGGTCTAACAGGTATCCACACTTCAAACTCCGCCCTTGCAGACAGGTGTTTGTAGTCAGAAACGCATAGCTGTGATCAGGGTAGTCTTGTGTGATGTCACCTACTACCTCATTCACTTTGTTTTGTTGTTTTTGACACTAGAAAGCTGCAAATTTCCTATGGTTTACTCTAAAATTGCTCCAAAAAAATGTGTGTAGATGTTATTGCTTTGTCTGGAATGTTTCACAGTATGGCATTAAGTCTTTCTATCTTCAGGGAGACCAAACCAGGCCAAGTTACAGGTCAGATCTGTGGAGAGGCACCCCCGCTCACAGTCAGAATGCCTCTTTTTCTATGTATTTTTGAGCTATAAAACCACTTGTGATTGAATAAATGTAAGGTAGAGAGAGCTGTTTAATGTCATACTGTGGAACATTTCAGGCAGAGCAGCGACGTAACCGTAGAAACAAGCAGGTGACGGACCCCCAACCAAAAAGCTGCATAGTGCACCTTTAAAGCACCACACAGTTTAGTTGTGAAAAGTGGATTTTGTGTTTAGTTCCGCTTTAAAACTCCATGCTTTTTGAAGAACTGAAGTCTCCCAAATTGTGTTATCGCCATCCCTTCCTGTAAGTGATGAATGTGAGAGAAAATGCAAGCTAATTTTAAGGTGTGTTGATAGAAACTCATTTTGATTTGAGTCTGCAGTCTTTAGCTCTTAACCCACAGCTCTGCATCATGAAGTAGGGCTATAATGAATTTCGTCTCCTTCTCTTCTCATTCTGAGCGTGAACATATTTGATTAGTTTGAGTAAATCCCGCTAAATCCTACACGCTGCACCTTTAACAAACAACACGTGAGGTTTCCAGGCAACTCCAGCTCAGTCTATGAACAGGATCACTTCATAGAAATATAATACCGGGCCGTGTCGCGTTAACATGAGTGTACTTGTGTTAAACAGCCCGTATCATGCTATTTTCTGATCTACAGTACTTTATAATTGTTTCCTAATCACCAACGTACCTGGAGTTGTCTTTTGTTTTATTTGCACATGTTTAACACACAAACTCTGCATATTTAGGTTGAGTTCTCACACTGAAAATACTCATGATGTCTTGTGATAATACAGGAAGTGTTCCAGTGTTGTGTTTTTAGACTCCACACACCTTCACTAGAATCATTTGGATAATTTTGGACCTGGAATTTCCAATCTAAAGAAGTAAAAAGGTAGCTGTTAACCAGAAAACTATTGCTTCATGACATCACAAGGTGGAATGGAGTATTATGAAGTTTGGAGATGTAGACAGACTAATAATAAAGCTTTACTGAAACACGTGTGAATGAAACAAAACACAACTCCAGGTCTGTTTTTGATGAGGAAACACGATACTAACATTATAACATAGATCAAAAATAATAACATAATATGGATGTTACAACCCAGCTCGTTATGTTCAGGGAAGTAACAACAACAACAACAACAAAAGATACATGGAATAAAAGAAGTAATCTTTAATTAACAGGGTTGTAAAAGGTAAATTAACAAAACTGACTAAAGTATACAAAAAATAAACT